GATGAATTGAGGGAACTGGTGTTGAAATAGTTAAAAATCCTCAGTAGAAACACCAATTACAAAAGGCAGTGTACTGTAGAATACTTTATTTTCACTTAGAATTTATTTTTGCTATTTTCGCTGAAGGGATGATTCTGTGAAAATAAAATCCAGCGAATATACTTTTTTTCCTATATTTCACATTAAACTCATCAAAAATCAGTGAAAATAAATTCCATACAAAACGCCCAAAAAGCCTTTTCAGCGAAAATTAATTCCAGCAAAAATAAAGTATTCCACAGTATTTACTGTAGTACCATATCTAAGAGGGATGGTATCTTATATCCTCGGGGCGGAGCTACGCCACGGACGTTCTACGTTGCTAAGACGCGCACCACTGTACCACATATTTCTATGGGCTCTGTGCGCGCTGCTGTGGAACGCCGGTGGAGCCGGTGAAAACTCGAGCAAACAACACAAACTCAACTTTGAAGTAATCCTGAACAACCAAATTCATATATGTTACACACGTAGGGCTAATCTTGTTACACTGTTCAGGGGACTCTCAACAACCATCGCAAAGTACCGTTTTCTGCGAGTTTTTGGTTTTTGTTTTCACTGCGAAGGTTGCCAGGCGGTGAAAATGCCCGGATGTCCGCCCTCGAGAATAGATTCAATGACAACTCCATCAAAACTTTCCAATTTTCTGTTTTTCCTTTAAAAGATCACATCACAGTAAAGGAGTATAGGGTTTATAAGAATGTGGCGCATATACCATACCACACCAATGGAATAATTTGCATAAGTAATTGAGAATAAATTGATCACCATTTTGATATTCTTAACTAGCCTGTTTCACTATAGGTGAATACTCTTAATATGTCATCAATACAAAATTTATTTACCTCATGTAGGTCAATTTAATTCCAATTTTGTTAGTTTATAAGACCCCAACTGAGGAGAAACAATCAAATTAATCATATTGAAAGTATAACTGTCAAATTATTTTCATTTCATTAGAAATAGAAGTCACTACAATGAACTTTGAGACAATTGACATACTGAATAAAACAACTCAATTGGAAATGAAACAAACACTGCAAATACATACCAGTGCATGAATTTGGCATTGTCTGGGTGTAATAGCAATAATTTCTAATTATATAATGCTGCCATATTGCCATGGTAAATGAGATAATTTTCATTTTGTTTTTAAAAAACAATTAATAAATTCACATAAATGCCAAATGAGCCTCCCCCCCCCCCAAAAAAAAAAAAAAATTTGTGGCATAATATCTAGTAAACCATAGACTCTAGAGAAAGTAAGGCTTTTTTTTTATGCTATGTTAATGGTAATCCCATATACAAATTCACTGCTAATTGATGCAACCACAGTCACTCTACTAGTAGAGTGCCTGTGGTGCAACCACGGTTACTTTTTTAGTAACCGTGATGCAACTGATCTTAAAATACACATGAAATACTTCCTGTTTATATTGAAAATATTACTCAAGTCAACAAAAGTGGTCAATGTGCAAATGTGAATTGTTAACATTGTACATTTACTAATTGTAGTTTGATCATTAATCAAAGCTTCAGATGATATACTACATCATGAAAGTTGACAATTCCATGTTTTTTTTTTCTTCTATACGGTCTGTAAGTAAACTACTGTAGAATATTTTATTTTTGCTTGGAATTTATTTTCGCTATTTTCGCTGAAGGGATGATTCCATGAAAATAAAATCCAGCGAATATACATTTTTTCCTATATTTTACATTAATCTCATCAAAAATCAGTGAAAATAAATTCCAAGCAAAACGCCCAAAAAGCCTTTTTAGCGAAAATAAATTCCAGCGAAAATTAAGTATTCCACAGTAAGTGGGAGGTGAGAGACAGAGCATCATTTGATATGCAATATCAAACACTATAGGAGATGGCTATTAACTAAACAATTAATGCACACATACAGGATGTAATGCAGAGATTAGTAGTGGCTAAAGCAACAAGTTATTATGTAATATGAGGTTACATGTAACCCTATTAATGTAATTGAAATGATGCTATTACCCTGTTTTCGCACTTGTATTAAAACACAGGATTTTACACCAAGTTTATTCTAACCATGGAGGTATGAAAGAGACCTCCATGTTTTAACTCACTGTTGAAAAACATGTTTTGCACGTTCTTGACACGGGTTAGTCGATTTTGTGTTCACCCATAAATTGAGACATGTGTGAACAAGTTCTCAGGGTTAAAACAATTCCAGCAATCCAGTGGTGTGAATAAGGTGTGAAAAAGTGAAAGTGTTAAATGTGAAACCACTGCAACATATGAACAAAAAGCAGGTTTAACCGCCATCCCTGAGGGACGGTGATTTAACCTGCTGATAGGGAATACTTACAACGCAGTCTAGCACATATAAATAAGGCTTTAGTTTTTTTAGACACAGGGATTGATCATTAGAAATATACATTTATTTTCTGTAATTTTCTAATTTCCTGTAACTTTTTTAAACCTTTTTTTTTTTTTTATATCCATCCTAGCTCCCTTGCAGTCAACCCTTAATAAGCATTTTGTAAGCAACTCCCAGTATCTGTTTACTAGCTTCTTTTATTTACAGGAAAGGTTGTTTTTTAAAACAAAGATTGAAGTTGAGAGTACACAATTCCGGTCCCACAATTCCTCTAGCTATTTTCGCTTGGAGTTAATTTTCGCTGAAGGAGTGATTCAGTGAAAATAAAATCCAGCGAATATAGCTTTTTCCTATATTTTACATTCAACTCGTCCAAAAC